GTCCCACTCTGTGGCTTGCTTTAAATTTTCTTAATGATGTCTTTTAAAAAGCAGACATTCGTTTTTTTAATTTTGATTGAAGCCAAATTATCGATTTGTCTTATAATTTTTTATGTATTCTATCTAAGAAATCCTTACCTAAATCAAAGTCACAAAGACTATATTTAGGTGTATGATCCATTTTGTGTTATTTTTACGTATGGTTTGAGGTAAAGGTCAAAATTCATTTTTTTCTATATAAATGTTCAGTTGTTCCAGCACATCTGTCAAAAACACTAACCTTGGCCGGGCACTGTGGCTCACGCCTGTAATCCTAGCTCTTGGGAGGCCGAGGCGGGCGGATTGCTCAAGGTCAGGAGTTCAAAACCAGCCTGAGCAAGAGCGAGACCCCGTCTCTACTATAAATAGAAAGAATTAATTGGCCAACTGAATATATATATAAAAAATTAGCCGGGCATAGTGGCACATGCCTGTAGTCCCAGCTACTTGGGAGGCTGAGGCAGAAGGATCACTCGAGCCCAGGAGTTTGAGGTTGCTGTGAGCTAGGCTGACGCCACGGCACTCACTCTAGCCTGGGCAACAAAGCGAGACTCTGTCTCAATAAAAAAAAACAAAAAAAAACAAAACACTAACCTCTTGCCATTGAAAGACCTTGACTTCACTGACGAAAACTGAAACTGAAAACTGAAAACCCACATTATGTAGGTTTATGAACTCCCAATTTGGTTTCATGATACACTAATACCACCACTGTCTCGATTACTATAGGTTTACACAAGGCTCAAATAAATTTTTGGTGATTTAACTCTAATAACAAGCTTTTTCCCCTATTACCATTAGGGAAATATTTCATAGATACCGAATGATAACACCCTGTACTAAATGTCAATATCACACATAGGATAACAGTGAAAATAAGAATTCTTTTCTCTCAAAGCACAAAGTTCGTTCATTTATTTCTAAAGACAGCATAGAAGATAAAAGGTAACAGATTTCATTTATATAATCCATGTACTTGCTCATTCACTTGCTCCTTATCTATTCATACAGTTCAGGACTGCCTCAGAGGCGCATGAGATAAACCTAAAAGAGTATCTCAGCCCTTATAGTATCCTTTGCCTTATAAAGGTCCCTCTAATTTTCTAACTAACTAATTTTCTAAGCCTAACATATGCTTTACTATGGGGGGAAAACCAATACTAATTGCTTCCCAAGAATTTTAACTGCATCTAGAAATATACATCTTAAAACTACAATTTAGCTTTATAAACAACTATGTGTACAAAACTGACAAATATCCCAACATTTTTAATAGTCATTATCAAAAAAATTGTTTAACAACTGCTGATTTGTAGCCGCTACTAGAAGGAAAGAAAACACACAAACCTAAAGAGGCAGTCCTTTTTTAATTTTCACATTTAAAAGAAACCTCAAAATTCTAGTGATGTTATGAGAGATCTAAAAATAATACAGAATTATTTATATCCCTGGTTGGTCTCTTTATTCAATAAGGAGGTTTAAACAGCAATAAAGTAGGCCAATTTTATAATCATAATCAATACATGATTAGGTTAAAAGAAATTACAAACACAAGGTTCTGGAACCACTCCAAAATTTTTTGTACAACAAAAGAACTAGAAAAAGATTTAGTATCTTCTAAAATGTCAAAATTAAAATTTTACTGTACTTTCAAGGATTTTTTTGAGAGATCTATGTCCTATTTTATCAAAGGCAATATTAACCAGGTCTAATTATGCTTGAAGGCTAGACATGAAATAATGAACAGTATGTAGTCATTAATTTGTCACTTATAGTAGTCACAAAAAGAGAATTAGTAATAATTCAGACTCTGAAGCATAAGAGAAAGTAATATAAAAACAATAAAACCCTAACACAGATTTCATATTACAAAGCAAAGAAGAATAGGAAATTCTACTCTCATTTATTTTTTGTCTACATTTCCCAGAAAGAAACAAAATCATAGGCTGCTTTTCACTAAATCTTTCACACCATTTCTAAAGTTACAATTTATTTTAAAATGCCTTTGAATTTTTAAACTTCCCTTAATTCTTTGGTAAACCACTACTGTTTGCTTCCAATCTTCATAAATACATTCTACTAAAAAACAAAATGAGTTTACCACAGGGTAAACAAAGTACTTATATCTTACTAAATTCCTATTAAGATTAGCCATCCTTAATGCTGTCTCTGAAAACATCAATAGTAACTTTACATTAGATTACACATGATGAATTTCTTTCAATCTCTGCCTCCACCTCCATACTCCGACTGGCAGCATTGCTTATTAATCTTCCAATTCATTCAGATGATACCTCTTCACTGAGAAAAATGCAAGAAAGAATAAACAACTCACCCTTCCTTAGACATTCTCAAAGATCTACTTCCTCTGGATGAGAATACAGGATCAACAAACAAGCTTCACTGATCTCTTGAGAACTGTAGCTCATTTGTTAAAGCACAGAGAACTCAGGCCCCGAGAGGCCCAACAAATTCGGGCACAATGCCGAACCCTAACTAGGCAATATCTCAGTGACCAATATCTTCAGCTTTAAATACTTAAAAACGTTAAGAATAATAGGAAAAAATTGGCAACCAAGAAAAATAACTAAGGGACTGAACTGTTTAAGACTGGCCAGTTAAGGAGACAATCCAAATGGCAAGTTCCCGTAAGAGACAGGGACGTTACTGGCAAACACAGAAAAAGCAAATTTACCCCCTAATGAGGCCCTCCAACAGTACGCAAACAATGTGAGTTTCACAGAATCCAGTGGCCCTGGTAGGTCAAAATCATTTTTAGTTTACTCTGGGGGAGGAGTGAGGTGCAGAGGGGAGCAGGATAAATAATTTTATATTTTAATTATCAGTTTAGTTATTTCCTCCCTTAAAAAATGAACAATGTGAACTACAAAGAGAAGGAAGTATTTATGTGCCGCTCATATTACAGGAGAAACCTAAAGTATTTCCACACTGAGGTCTTTTTTTCCGATTTCATTAACTGCTTTTAAGAAAACATCTGTGTTCACAAATATTTCACTCCATTGCCTGAAAATTTCAGCTCATGTGAAAAGATATTTACAGATCTTTGGCATATGGGAGATAAATCAAGAACATTCTAAAGGTTAATTCCAAATCTCAGAGCCAGCTGAGGTTTGAAAGAAAAACATCTGCAACATTCCTGCCTCCTGACCAATATAATGCATAGGGATTATGCAACAAGGGAAGGAATAAACAAATCTGCTAAAGTCTGAGAACACTGAGATGGCAAATAAGTCCTCCCAGTGGTGATTCAAGTTAAAAATAAAATATACATGCCTTAAAGAAATACTACATGAATTAAAACTTACATTTTAAGAAAACCTTTATCTCCTTAAATATTATCTGAATATCTTACCATAAGGTTTCTATTATTTATTAAAATGTTTAGTCACCAATTAAAAGCACTATTATTATTTTCAATTTACTTAGAAAGGCAGTATGGCATAATGGAAAGAGAATGAACATTGGAACAACTAAATTTAAATCCCAGCTCCTCTACTTTCTGGCTTTGAAATCTTGAATAAACCTAAACTTAACCTAAACCTGAGCTTTTTAATCTACAGAAGGGAGATAACATCTAATAGAGTTGTTGTCTGTCATATATAAGCACTCAAAGAACTGTTGTAATTTGAGGGTAGGGGAACAGATAAAGGAACTAGATTGTCAAGTATTCACTAATATATCTCTTGGTCTTGGAACTACTGACCTCAAGTTTTTGTTTTGTTTTTTTCTTTTTTTTGTGGGTTTCTTCAAGCTGAATGTCTTAGGAAATACCTTTCTTTAAACCTAAATCTCAAATTTTACATGAATATGAAGGACTTCCATTGATTATCCTCAAACCAAATTCCATAAATATAAGAACACAAACTGAACATGGAAAAATGATCTAATCTTTTAGAGTGCCAACTTCCCACGGATTCCCTGGATTTTCAGCTGTGGTATCACAGCTCAGTGTGGTGGAAATAAATGTAATTACTATTTTAAGACTTTATTACTGGCCAAGAGAAAGGAAAACAAAAATTCTCACTTGAGCAGAGGGTACACACTTAAAGGAGCCTCTTATGCAAAAGGTAAGGCATTATCTAGAGATGATTAGCTCTTTCAAACTTCATGCATACATTCTACAAATATTTACTGAATGTCTCATGTCTCTATGTGTCAGTTACCAGTCATACTGAGATAAACGTGGCAGTCCTTGATTTCTAATGAGCTCTAAGTCTAGTGGAGGAGGCCCATTCAAAATCAGTTAAAAAATAGTGTGTAATCATAGTATTAGAGATAGGCACAACAGAGAGGTGCACCTATATCCTCTTGGCTGAGTCTTATTAAAAGACAAGATGAGGTGTTTTGTTTTTTTAAAAAAACTGACACTGTAGTAAGTTCCTTATATATCTACTATCTCATTTAATCCTTGCAAGAACTCTATGAGGTAGAAATTATTCCAGTTTCATACATGACAATATAAAAGTTTATAAAAGTTAAATACTGTGATTCTAAAGAAATAGAATAATCCAAAATGCTAACCCAGGCTCTTAACCACCATGCTAAAAGTATTCCCAGGTGTGTTAGATATTAACAGGCTAGAAGGAAAAGAGGGAGTAGAGAACATTACAACAGAAGAGGAATCATGAACAAAACAGCAGAGTGAAACGTTTGTGTGTGTGTGTGTGTGTGTGTGTGTGTGTGTGTGTGTGTGTGTGTAGGGGGGGAACCCCAACTAGATGCAGTTCAGAGTTGACAGAACACAGAATCTAAGGAGGGGAGCTATTCAACATAAAAGTGGAAAGGAAAAGATCAGTCTTAGAGGATTTTAAGGGATTTAGAATTTATACAGTGGCATGCTCAATGTGATGCCACTAAAGGTTTTAAGCAGGATAACATGATTTTAAAAAATGAACTTGGGCCAGGCACGGTGGCTCACACCTGTAATCCTAGCACTCTGGGAGGCCGAGGCGGGAGGATTGCTTGAGGTCAGGAGTTCAAAACCAGCCTGAGCAAGAGCAAGACCCCGTCTCTACTATAAATAGAAAGAAATTAATTGGCCAACTAATATATATAGAAAAAATTAGCCGGGCATGGTGGCGCATGCCTGTAGTCCCAGCTACTCGGGAGGCTGAGGCAGTAAGATCGCTTGAGCCCAGGAGTTTGAGGTTGCTGTGAGCTAGGCTGATGCCACGGCACTCACTCTAGCCTAGGCAACAAGTGAGACTCTGTCTCAAAAAAAAAAATAGTTTACTTCTTTTTACTGCTGAATAGTATTTCACACATAGAATGTTGGGGGGGGGAATAAATAAGCTAAAATAAATATTACCAGTTCCTGAACCCTCACTTGTCATTCCTTAGGGATGGGAAACACTAACCAAAGAATTAGAAATATATACATAAAAAAAGTTTTAACAGTTTTGATGCTCTACCTCACTCTTTTTATTCTGACAAGATATATCCCATCTGTATATCATTTAAGGAACATGGCTCCTTAGAATTCCTGAGGACCTATATTTTCCAAATAATTTTCAATTTATAAAATGGCTATTGAAATGTTAACAGTTTATCCATTTGAATACTTGAATTCATACTAAAATGACGGTTTACTCAGCTTGGTTAATGACAAAATTAAAAAGCTAAATTACATTCATGTGATATCCATACGTGTTTAAGAAAGAAAAAAATTAAAATTTATCAACCTGGCCATATCTGTCTGCATATAACCTGATACCTGCTTTTCAAATGAGTTTAAAGTAAGTCATCATAAACATTTCTAAATCTATTAGTGTGCCAAGCTACAGGTACTACAAAATTATTTTTAATATGTACACAAATTCCTTTTCACTCCTTAATAATAAATTTACTTTGATTTGAGAAGAAACCATTATTCAATGGTTTAAATAAATATTGGAATGGCTTTGGAGGCCTAAGTTGCAATTTAAAAAAATTTCAGATAAATACAAATTTCAGATAAATATACAAAGGTTTTTAAAGAACTTTAAAGGTAAGGCAATTGCAATGTCTTTTAAAGTAAGGCAAAAGACTGGTTAAAACAAAAATTCACAAGTCTAATTACTTATCAAATTTTAGTTCAACATGATAAAAACCACTGCTGAATTCATAAGCTGTGTTCCTAGAAAAAAAAGTCAATTCACTGTCACAGAAATTCTGCTATACTGTAATCATCAGAACTTTAAAAGGATAAAACCAAATACCTGACTTCAGCATTCTGGGCACAGTCAATGTGGAGAGCAGATGAAAAATCTAATTGTTCCATTCCTGGATTTGGTAAATATAAATTCTGATCTGTATTGATTGCTATCAGAATCTAGGTGTTCAACAAAGAACTATATAAGAGATAATTTTCTAACCTGCCTCCTTCAAGTCACAATGACATCTAAGCAGCTCAGCCTACATTCTGACCATATGGCAAAACATTCCAAAGAAAGGTTTGGTCTGATGACTATCCTCAGCCCACGAAACTAAACCACCATAATAAGGAAATAGAGGAGGAACAGTCATACATTCTAAAGGCCAGTTTCTTAAATAATGACACATGACCATCATTTCTATAATGAAATTTAGAAGACCAGTATTAAGCAAGAAAAAAAGCTAGAAGTTAGATGTTTATTTACTTAACTACGAATATTTAGCTTCTTCTAAAAGGAAATTCTAAAGCATTATGTAACAATGTATACTTTTTTTTTTTTTTTTGAGACAGAGTCTCGCTTTGCTGCCCAGGCTAGAGTGAGTGCCGAGGCTGCAGCCTACCTCACAGCAACCTCAAACTCCTGGGTTCAAGAGATCCTTCTGCCTCAGCCTCCGGGACTACAGGCATGCGCCACCATACCTGGCTAATTTTTTCTATATATATTAGTTGGCCAATTAATTTCTTTCTATTTTTAGTAGAGACAGGGTCTCACTCTTGCTCAGACTGGTCTTGAACTGCTCACCTCGAGCAATCCGCCCGCCTCGGCCTCCCAGAGTGCTAGGATTACAGGTGTGAGCCACCCCGCCTGACCAACAATGTATACTTTGTGATAACAATCAGCACAGTCTGCTTAACTTAACCAATGATACTTACTCAAATAAATGTCTTTAATAAAAAGCTCTGGAGAATTAAAAAAAAAAATTAAAATAAAAAAATAAATCTGAAAAAATGTGAAAAAAAAAAGCTCTGGAAACAGACTATTCTACCAATTGATCTAACTAGAAAATGAAATTTCTTCGAAATGGTTTCTATTTAACATTTTTAATTAACAAAAGTAAACACTGTTAGATAGGAGGAATAAGTTCAAGAGATGTATTATACAACCTGATGACTGTAGTTAATAGTAAGTGTATTGTATACTTGAAAACTGCTAGGAGAATAGATTTTAAGTGTTATCACAAAAAAAATGATAAGTATGTGAGGTAATGCATGTTTAGTTAGCTTGATTTAGCCATTTAATATATACATATTTTAAAACATTGTTATATACCATAAATATATACATTTTGGCAATATAATAAAAAATGGATACATAACTTCTTTAAAGCAAATACTTGCAAGAGTATAAGAACCCAATTTTTCTTTTTTTCTTTTTTGTTTTTTTAAGACAGAGTCTTACTCTTCTGCCTGGGCTAAAGTGCTGTGGCATCAGCATAGCTCAGAGCAACCCCAAAATCCAGGGCTCAAGCAGTCCTTCTGCCTCAGCCTCTGAAGTAGCTGGGACTACAGGTCTGCACCACCACACCCAGATAATTTTTTCCACCTTTAGATGTCTGGCTAATTTCTTTCTACTTAGTAGAGACGGGGTCTTGCTCTTGTTCAGGCTGGTCTTGAACTCCTGAGCTCAAGCAATCCTCCCACCTTAGCCTCCCAGAGTGCTAGGATTACAGGTATAAACCACCACGCCCGGACCCAATTTTTCTATATTAAAATATTTTTCTCAATGATCTAAAAAATAAATCAAACCCCTGATGATGCTTTTTTCTTCTATTGTTTCAGATTGCATTTGCTATGTAAATGTTGTAGGGTGCAGAGCCCAACTAAAATCTTCCAGGAAATACCATTCCAAATGAGTCAGAAGTACATTCAGGCTATGACATGTATTAAATACAATTAGGATGTTTACAAGGTGATCTCTCCTTCGTTACATAATTCTAGCCCTTGTTTCCACTGCTAAAAATGTTACATCCTAACCAAATGTATACTTTATAGCATAAACACTAAGCAAATAATTCAACAAAGTATAGAATACCTCTCTTCATAACAATCACTTCCAAATGTGTATGTTGTTTTATTTACATAGACACACATAAACACTCCCTTTTACATTTTAACATGCCATATCCTTTCTATTGTACGTGTACATAAAAAAAAATGCCATATGTAAAGTCTCACACACAGAAGGGAATCATGAGTACTCACTGATTTTGAGTCTCGATATGAATGTGAAATGTTTTCACTTTTTCAGGGTTTAATGAGTAACAGCAACCCATCACCTAGAAACGCCACATAGTGACCTACTATGAGACAAGTAACACCAGCCTACTTTAAAAACCAACTATTGGCCGGGCGTGGTGGCTCACGCCTGTAATCCTAGCACTCTGGGAGGCCGAGGCGGGCGGATTGCTCGAGGTCAGGAGTTCAAAACCAACCTGAGCAAGACCCCGTCTCTACCATAAAAATAGAAAGAAATTAATTGGCCAACTAATATATATATATATATATAAATCAGCCGGGCATGGTGGCTCGTGCCTGTAGTCCCAGCTACTCGGGAGGCTGAGGCAGGAGGATCACTTGAGCCCAGGAGTTTGAGGTTGCTGTGAGCTAGGCTGACGCCACGGCACTCACTCTAGCCTAGGCAAGAAAGCGAGACACTGTCTCAAAAAAAAAAAAAAAACCAACTATTGATAGAATAATTAACTTTTCAAACACTCAGTACCAAGTCACTATTTTCTTCAATATATTAATAATGAAACAGTAAAATGTTACCTAATTCTGACCTAGCCTTCCTACACAGAAAAGAGTGGACTCAAAATTATTATTTTGTCTGCTTACAAAAACATACCTACACCCGTTTAACCATTTTTCCACTAAGACTTTAAAAGTGATATTGATTTCATCTTTCCTCCAGCTCAGAAACAGCTAAGTGATGATGAATTGTTTTAGACTTTCTGAAGTTCCCATGCAACGTTTTAGCACTGCCAATATATCAGCATCTGTACTTATTCGGGGCTTTCCTGGGGTGGGAAGTAGAGATGGTTCTAGTAGGGCCCAGATCTTACTATCCCACAAATTCACTGAAAATGTAAACTTCTAATTGCTGCCTAAAATGAATTTCTAAATACATTACCTACTTCCAAGTATCTTAGCTACTTAAGATTTGGGTAGAAGCAGGCATTTAATTGAATCTATAAAAAGTGGTAAGTAGGCTGGGCACGGTGGCTCATGTCTGTAATCCTAGCACTCTGGGAGGCCGAGGCGGGAGGATCCTTTGAGCTCAGGAGTTCAAGACCAGCCTGAGCAACAATACCCTGTCTCTACTAAAAATAAAACGAAGTCAGCTGGACAACTAAAAATATATATAGAAAAAAGAAGCCAGGCTTATATATTCTATAAATATATACATATATATTCTATAAATATATATAGAAAAAATAAGCCCAGCTACTTGGGAGGCTGAGGCAGGAAGATTGCTTGAGCCAAGGAGTTTGAAGTTGCTGTGAGCTAGGTTGACGCCACAGCACTCTAGCCCAGGCAACAGAGACTCTGTCTCAAAAACAAAAAAAAAGTGGTAAGTAGGGGACCTGGCGCAGTGGCTCATGCCTGTAATCCTAGCACTCTGGGAGGCCGAGGGTGGGAGGATTGCTCGAGG